AAATAACTATAAAGAAATATTTTGGATTGTGTTTTTTACTTAGTATTTAATACTAATTACTAATTAGGTACTTAAGTATAGGTATATAACTTTACACGTAGTTTATGGTATATTTTACTATTATATAGGTAACTGAACTAAATATGCATAACAGGAATATTCCTAAATGAACTTTCTATAGCAATTACTTTCTTAACATTCTAAGCATATGTTTAGAGTAGACTAATTTTTACCACTAAAACTTTGCACCTTCTAAGAACCTGCCTATAGGCCAGTAAGAATATTCTTAGGATCATGCTATATGTCTTTTAAGCATGTTCTTTAGAAGAAATATAGCATGATCCTAAGAATATTCTCACTGAAAGGTTTAAAAAACATTCTTAGAATAAAGTGTGCTATCAGGGATAGCAACAACTTTCGTACAATACAAGTATAACAATTAGTTTCAAATTAGAAAATACATTGTGCGTAAACCACATCGCTATTATTTTAAGGGATTTTAAAACGCTGTAAAAACACGACCCTTATTTACAAAACACTTTATAAAAACATCCCTTTGTGAGCCTATCTGTATACAATGTCAAAAACACCAGTCTATTATATTCTTACAAAAGTCCGAACTCCTAACTAAGCCAAGGGATAATCCAGGGTTATTTATACAGGGGTCGCATTTAATAAAAAAAAGTCTACACCCTCCCCAATGTATTTTTTATTTTATTTTATTATTACCATCAGGCTTAATTTCGATGTTCATTTTTGTATTCGTAATAGTGGCAATATGTATCTCTTTTGTGCTCCCCATGTGAATATTTTTTTAAGGCGTCAACTTGCTATTTTTATTTATTTTTGGGCGTACATATTTTAACAATTAATATAAAAGTACAATAAAAGAAAAAAACTGTTTTTATACAGTTTATACACAGTAAAAAAACATCAACTCTAAGCAACACTAATTAGAGTTCACACAGGTCCACACTAATAGTGTTGTTTTATAACACTACAATTAGAGTTAATTTGTAGTGTAATTTTCCCCAAGTATGATTTAACACTATAGCACTGAGGATAAAGTAATTTTACACTGTATTAAAAAGTGTTAATTTACCTAAAATCGTGTACTTCTACACTTCCTGCACTGAAAGAAATTTGTTGCTTAAAGTAAATACAAATTTATACTAAAAATTTTATACTAGTGCTTTACACATTTATACTACTGTTTATTATGAATGTATGTTAAATTTTGTAATACATTTATTGTAAAGAAGATATGTTAGATCTAAATAAAAATAAACTTACCCTTACTATAAAATGTAAACTATAAGTGAATTACAGCAAAAAAATATTGCTAGAAACACATTTATATTGCTAGGGTAGCAATAGGCTGCTAACCAAACGAATATATTTGTTTTAGCAATGTATGTGGTAGTCCATATATGAAACATAAAATATATTTGCCCTAATTATTTTTTTATTTAACTTTAGTATATATTTCTTTCAGTGTGGGTAAAATCCCACTTTTGTTCAGTGTAAATTAACACTATTATTTGAGTAAAACCTATTGGTGGTAGTGAATAAAACGAAAAGGTAAATAAAGAGAAACATTTATTTGGAAGAAAAATCTATGACAATTATCAAAATCGGTGCCTTTTAAAATATAATTTTATATTTGAGTCGTATGGCTGGCTTAAGCAAAATGGTTCCTTAAAACGTAAAAGTTTTAGATCAATGCAATGTTTTACTGGCTGTCAACTTGTAAGCAATGAATTATCTTGAGAATTCATTAGTAATCCATTTTTCCGTTATAAAAAATGGGTGATCCCATTGGTGGAGAGGCGTCAGGCGGCTGTATGTCGGGGATTTACCACACGTGTACAAATTTTCCATAATATTAATAAAAATGTAGGTATAGGTTAATATAACAACCATTACGCTTGAAAAATAAAAAGTAAATCATGTGTGTATGTATTTATATTATTAATGTTACAAGTACCCGACCTACTGCCGTAAATTATTGATATATAATATAGGTCGGGTATGGACATCCTTTTAACATATTGGTATTTATTGAGTATTAAGGCTTAAAGAAAAAGGAAGTACCAAAAAATAAGAATGTCCCCTTATGGATTCACCGTAATTAAAATCTAACTAAACAAAAATGCCACACTTCCACAACGCGGTATCTCCGGATATGCAATGCGTAGGTAGATAGGTACCAACCAAACATTTTAAAACGCATTTTGGTTATTACCAGTTTTTTCAGTCTATTTTGGTGTAATTTAACTTTAATTGTGATACAATGTGCACTAGTAGTGTAAAGAAAAAAGGGCTCTTAGTAACATCAAAACAGACCAAGAAATTGGCATGCACTGTAGTGTACATTTTGTCACTATTTAACACATTAAGGGGTAATAAACACTCGCATTAAGTTTTTCTACCCTTTTGATTTGTTTTAATAATAAATAGTGTGAATGTACCAATAAATTATGTTCATATTCTTTAAATGTGTTTAATAAAGTTAATAAGCACTAAATGCTACCTAGTGTATTTTGTAGTGTAACTTTTACACTTACAAATCAACTCATATTTTTAACCCTACACTAAAAAATTTACATAGGCAAATTTTTTTACTGTGTAATAACTGCAATTGCAACCATTGGGTGACAAGTGCTGTTTCTGCGCGCCTTCATTAAATAGTAATTTGTATTCCAAACGTCCCGTTTTAAATTAATACGTGAATACACCGGATTTTTTTGACATGCCGTTTGGAAAAAAGATTTAGTCGAATTTTCCTGGATTTTAGTCCTTATAAGAACAATCCTTAGAGTTCCTGGTTGGATTTCCTGCGCTAAGTGGCGCGCCATATGACGCCACAAACCCTTGCTGCTAAAATTAAGGGAAAATAAATTTGTTCCCGACAAATTTATCCGAGTAAAATCGATTTTTATTCAGTCCTTAAAACAATGATTTTGCTTCTTTATGGTCTTTCCAAAGTGGCACTAAAACTATACTTGCCACAGTTTGAACAAATTCTGTCCTTAAAGCGATTAAACACTAAAAAGCACTAAGTTACTTACCAGTCTGTGAATTACTCCTTTGCTCCTTTTTTTCGTTGCCCAGGATGGCACTAACACTAAACTTGAGTACGGGTTTGGATTCCTCGATGACGTGTGCACTGTCACTGAATCTACACGAAAAGAAGTTGCAGTTGTACCTGCCACAGTTCGAGCAAATTCTGTCCTTGAAGCAATTGTTGAACGGCAAGAAAACGTCGTTTTTCCCCGGACTGAGTCTGTCATTTTCGTTTTCGCTGCGCGTATTTTCGTTGGGACTCATCGAGGTTTTGACGTCGCGTTTCGCCTCGAACGAATCTTCCATGCCGTCTTCCAGATTGTCCGCGGTTTTGTCGGTGATGATTTCCAGGTTTTCCGGCGATATTTTCCCGGAGCTGAGCAGACTTTCCATGGAGAAAGCGTTCGCGGCGTTGTTGTTGATGCTCTTCAACATTTTTTCGCGCTGATGCAAGAATTGCAAGGTGTGATACATGATTATCGCGCACTACAACATACTTCTATGATCACTTTTGGGTGGAGAAGGTTTTTATAAAGCAAAACTGTTTAAAAGTCCATGAATATTCGAATCTATCGCCTGTGTATTCAACATTTAACTGAACTGTTTGGTCAAGCCTCCATAAAATGATCATTTTTTTAGGATGGATCAGAGTTGTTTTGGTCCATTTCAATGGGCTTTTCTTGAGGTATACCTTTCTAATTAGGTTTTATGATGCCGATGTACCATTTTCTTTAATTTCGATGATGTATTGTCATGGTTTACTTAGGTATTAAAGACATTTGTATTGTAAGATTGACGAGATAAAAACTTGTTTTATTATAACTTATTGAAAAAGTATGGAATCAAACGAATCACTGTTTTATTTATCTATTATAATTCAAGTACCTATATATAACCCACGATATTGTGAAAGCAATATTGATGCAAAATGTGTTTTACGTACACTAAACGTTTGAGGTGTATAAGTTACTTACCAGTCTGTGAATTACTCCTTTGTTCCTTTTTTTCGTTGCCCAGGATGGCACTAACACTAAACTTGAGTACGGGTTTGGATTCCTTGATGAGGTGTGCACTGTCACTGAATCTACACGAAAAGAAGTTGCAGTTGTACCTGCCACAGTTCGAGCAAATTCTGTCCTTCAAGCAATTGTTGAACGGCAAGAAAACGTCGTTTTTCTCCGGACTGAGTCTGTCATTTTCGTTTTCGCTGCGCGTATTTTCGTTGGGACTCATCGAGGTTTTGACATCGCGTTTCGCCTCGAACGAATCTTCCATGCCGTCTTCCAGGTTGTCCGCGGTGTCGGTGATGATTTCCAGGTTTTCCGGCGATATTTTCCCGGAGCTGAGCAGACTCTCCATGGAGAAAGCGTTCGTGGCGTTGTTGTTGATGCTCTTCAGCATTTTTTCGCGCTGATGCAAGAATTGCAAGGTGTGATACATGATTATCGTGTACTAAAGCATACTTCTTTGATCACTTTTGGGTGGAGAAGTTTTTTATAAAGCAAAACTGTTTAAAAGTCCATGAACATTCGAATCTGTCGCCTGTGCTTTCAACATTTAACTTAAATGTTTGGTCAAGCATCCATAAAATGATCATTTTTTCAGGATGGATCAGAGTTGTTTTTGTCCATTTCAATGGGATTTTCTTGAGGTATACCTTTCTTATTAAGTTTTATGATGCGGATGTACCATTATCTTTAATTTCGATTATGTATTGTCATGTTTTACTTAGGTATTAATGACATTTGTATTGTAACATTGATAAGATAACAACTTGTATTATTATAACTAACTATTGAAAAAGTATGGAATCAAAAAAATCACTGTTTTATTTACCTATTATAATTCAAGTACCTATATATACCCACGATATTGTAAAAGCAATATTGATGCAAAATGTGTTTTACGTACACTAAACGTTTGAGGTGTATAAGTTACTTACCAGTCTGTGAATTACTCCTTTGTTCCTTTTTTTCGTTGCCCAGGATGGCACTAACACTAAACTTGAGTACGGGTTTGGATTCCTTGATGAGGTGTGCACTGTCACTGAATCTACACGAAAAGAAGTTGCAGTTGTACCTGCCACAGTTCGAGCAAATTCTGTCCTTGAAGCAATTGTTGAACGGCAAGAAAACGTCGTTTTTCCCCGGACTGAGTCTGTCATTTTCGTTTTCGCTGCGCGTATTTTCGTTGGGACTCATCGAGGTTTTGACGTCGCGTTTCGCCTCGAACGAATCTTCCATGCCGTCTTCCAGATTGTCCGCGGTTTTGTCGGTGATGATTTCCAGGTTTTCCGGCGATATTTTCCCGGAGCTGAGCAGACTCTCCATGGAGAAAGCGTTCGTGGCGTTGTTGTTGATGCTCTTCAGCATTTTTTCGCGCTGATGCAAGAATTGCAAGGTGTGATACATGATTATCGTGCACTAAAGCATATTTCTATGATCACTTTTGGGTGGAGTAGTTTTTTATAAAGCAAAACTGTTTAAAAGTCCATGAAAGTTCGAATCTATCGCCTGTGCATTCAACATTTAACTGAACTGTTTGGTCAAGCATCAATAAAATGATCATTTTTTCAGGATGGATCATAGTTGTTTTGGTCCATTTCAATGGTATACCTTGAGGTATACCTTTCTTATTAGGTTTTATGATGCCGATGTACCATTATCTTTAATTTCGATGATGTATTGTCATGTTTTACTTAGGTATTAATGACATTTGTATTGTAACATTGATAAGATAACAACTTGTATTATTATAACTAATTATTGAAAAAGTATGGAATCAAACAAATCACTGTTTTATTTACCTATTATAATTCAAGTACCTATATATAACCCACGATATTGTGAAAGCAATATTTGATGCAAAATGTGTTTTACGTACACTAAACGTTTGAGGTGTATAAGTTACTTACCAGTCTGTGAATTACTCCTTTGTTCCTTTTTTTCGTTGCCCAGGATGGCACTAACACTAAACTTGAGTACGGGTTTGGATTCCTTGATGAGGTGTGCACTGTCACTGAATCTACACGAAAAGAAGTTGCAGTTGTACCTGCCACAGTTCGAGCAAATTCTGTCCTTGAAGCAATTGTTGAACGGCAAGAAAACGTCGTTTTTCTCCGGACTGAGTCTGTCGTTTTCGTTTTCGCTGCGCGTATTTTCGTTGGGACTCATCGAGGTTTTGACGTCGCGTTTCGCCTCGAACGAATCTTCCATGCCGTCTTCCAGATTTTCCGCGGTTTTGTCGGTGATGATTTCCAGGTTTTCCGGCGATATTTTCCCGGAACTGAGCAGACTTTCCATGGAGAAAGCGTTCGCGGCGTTGTTGTTGATGCTCTTCAACATTTTTTCGCGCTGATGCAAGAATTGCAAGGTGTGATACATGATTATCGTGTACTAAAGCATACTTCTATGATCACTTTTCGATGGAGAAGTTTTTTATAAAGCAAAACTGTTTAAGAGTCCATGAAAATTCGAATCTATCGCCTGTGTATTTAACATTTAACTAAATTGTTTGGTCAAGCATCAATAAAATGATTATTTTTTCAGGATGGATCAGAGTTGTTTTGGTTCATTTCAATGGGCTTTTCTTGAGGTATACTTTTCTAATTAGGTTTTATGATGCGGATGTACCATTATCTTTCATTTCGATGATGTATTGTCATGTTTTACTTAGGTATTAAAGACATTTGTATTGTAACATTGATAAGATAACAACTTGTATTATTATAACTAACTATTGAAAAAGTATGGAATCAAAAAAATCACTGTTTTATTTACCTATTATAATTCAAGTACCTATATATACCCACGATATTGTAAAAGCAATATTGATGCAAAATGTGTTTTACGTATACTAAACGTTTGAGGTGTATGAGTTACTTACCAGTCTGTGAATTACTCCTTTGTTCCTTTTTTTCGTTGCCCAGGATGGCACTAACACTAAACTTGAGTACGGGTTTGGATTCCTTGATGAGGTGTGCACTGTCACTGAATCTACACGAAAAGAAGTTGCAGTTGTACCTGCCACAGTTCGAGCAAATTCTGTCCTTGAAGCAATTGTTGAACGGCAAGAAAACGTCGTTTTTCTCCGGACTAAGTCTGTCATTTTCGTTTTCGCTGCGCGTATTTTCGTTGGGACTCATCGAGGTTTTGACGTCGCGTTTCGCTTCGAAAGAATCTTCCATGCCGTCTTCCAGATTGTCCGCGGTTTTGTCGGTGATGATTTCCAGGTTTTCCGGCGATATTTTACCGGAACTGAGCAGGCTCTCCATGGAGAAGGCGTTCGCGGCGTTGTTGTTGATGCTCTTCAGCATTTTTTCGCGCTGATGCAAGAATTGCAAGGTGTGATACATGATTATCGCGCACTACAACATACTTCCAATGATACTTTTTGGGTGGAGGAGTTTTGAATAAAGCAAAACCGTTTAAACGTTCATGAATAATTCGAATCTATCGCCTGCGCATTCAACATTTAACTGATGTGTTTCTCCACTGTTCGGCCGAAGCACCCTTAAAGCGAAGGCGTGGTTTGGCCAGGCAAGGGTGGAGTTTCGCTTCTTCTGGGGTTGAGTTTAAATACTACTTTTATATCGCTGTTTTCCGTTCGAATTATGAGCCCTTAATTATTATTGTATTCCGGAATTATTGCTCCCCACTCCAGAGTGAGCCTAAGCCACGGCTCAAGAGGGAGGATTTCATTGCGATTTGAGAATTTATCCGGCTTTTGTTCTTCGCTTTGTGTTTTGTTTTTATAACGTTATCATATCGATAATTATAATCTGATTAGAATCCTTTGTTTTAAAGGGCTTTAATGATATAAATATTTAAATATCGTGACATGTAAGATTTCAAAATATTTTAGCTTTTTAAAATTATTAATATTGTTGTTATTATTATTATTATTATTATTAATTTTAGAACCAGTAGCTCATTTTAGGATGTTAAACTAGACATTAAAAACTATTTTTTTTAAATATTTTTTTTAAAAATATGTTCAAAATTGCATCTTACTGTCAAAAGGTTAAGTAGAGTCATGTGACACATCATTAAAAAGGTCTTTTGAAACTATAATTAACCAATTCATTTTTGAGATTTTATACAGGGTTTGTATAAAATAGGCAACATAAGATTTACATTTAAAACGTGTTTTTTAACCGCAATTCATTATTTTTTACAATGTTTTAAAAGTCTAAAACCTATCCTCCGTGACTGTTACTCTTTCTAGGTTAACCTATATGTTTTCAAATATCTCAGGTAGTAAAAGCATACTAAAATATCAGTTCACTAAGTAAATTAATTTTTATAACCATTTATGTAGGCGTTACAAAAATTGATTCTAACCTCCGTGAATATGTTTTGCTTTAAATTTTATGCAACGGATGGCGCTTTAATAATTTTAAATAAGCAAAAACCTCTGTTTACGACATTATAGATGCATGTGATTCCTGAAGGTCAGTTAGACTTTATATGCAGATGAGAGTGTTGTTGTTTTATAATTCAAAAGTTTAAGTTCCTTAATTTGCTATTTAAAAACCTATCCACCGTGAAGTGTAATATCCCAGTAAGTAGATTTTTTTTTATAATAATTTCATGTATGTACAGGGTGATCCCCTATAATGTCGCCCCCTTTTAACTTTTTTATTTTAAGTGTCCCAAAAAATTTAAAAGTGTGGTTATGTAGGAACTAAAAAATACTTTTTTTCAACGTATAAAGAAAATTGGAAAATTGATCAGTATACAGGGAAAAACAAAAAGTTTATTTTTTTTTCAATGGATATTTGAATTTATTTTTCGATTCCTTGTAAAATTCTGAGCATAATTTATATACAAACCATATACGTAAACTCAACCGTTTCTGAAATATTCGCATTCAAAATGTCATCATTAAATGTTTTTTTAAACTGTTAAAGTATACCAAAATTTTTATTAAAAATAAATTACTATAGTGACATTATGTCAATAAGTGTTGTTAAATAAGTAAAAATGGCGTACTCAGACAGAGAAAGACAAACTATTTCAACTTATTATCTTAAAAATAATTTAAATATTTCAGAAACGGTTGAATTTAGGTATATGGTATGGATATATGAAATATTCCCACATAACCACACTTTTAATTTTTTTGGGACACTTAAAATAAAAAAGTTAAAGGGGGGCGACATTATAGGGGATCACCCTGTACAATTGAATTTTTAAAAAATATTAAGGTGTCAAAAGATACAATAACTTATTTCAAATATACAAAGGGATGTTTAAAAAAAACATACGAAATCCTAACCTCCGTGAAGCTATCCTCCGTGAAGCTCTAATATTCAAAATGAATGATTTCTTAAAATTCTTGCATTGGTGCAGAACCACTTATGTTAGGTTATTACTAGACCTGGTGGCTTCCCAACAATATTTTTTGTTTGTTAATAAATTAACGTTTGATTTCACTGTGTTTACTTTTTTCCAAAACTCTATTTGCAAAGAACATTTTTTTAACTTTAATATTTACGGCATGATTTAGTTATTTTTTATTGGGAACCCAACAAAATAAAAATGATATTTCGTCACCACTTTTGCGACATATAATTGATACAATTTTAACAACCGTATCATTTACCTTTTATCAATGATGGATGACTTTTTACAGAGCACGATTGTGAAATTATTGTTAATATGTTTTGTGCCCTTTTTTCCTTTAACAATACCCCGATGACAAATCACTTTCGATTGCCTTTGATTGATTGTGTTTCGGGGCTTTTGTGCCAAAACATAATGAATTAATATCTACACGTATCTACGTGAAACCATTTTACACATCTTGCACAATTATTGCGAAAATTTATATAACTTGTACATTTAGGATTTTGAAAGAACCATAATGTAAATTATTATGTTACCAATGCTACCAACCTTAAGCATATACATAATTTTATATAAATATTTTCTTTGGGGTTATAATACACTGTTAAAAATTTATATTGTAATTTTACGCACCACAATATAGTAATAATAATACTCAGTTTTATAAATTCACTACACGATTCATTACAACCCAATTTGGAAAAATTACAAAAGGTTTGTTGAAATTCACTAAGCATTTATTAAAAATTTGTTTAGTAACATTACAATACTGTATTGTAATTATACTATACAATTCATTTCAACTCAGTTTAAGAAAATTACAAAATATATTTTACAATTTTACTGAACTGAAGAAAATTCCTTTCGCAATATTACAATACAAATATTTTTATTTTGTATAACAAATTACACTAAACATATTTACTAATTTACGAATGATGGTATTGTAATTATACTACGAAAAAAAAACCTGCAATTTTCTTAGTTTCTTCAAGAAACTTTCTTGACCAATTACTGTAAAGATTTTAAAAAAATTGAACCTTCACCTCGCCAGAGTTTTTGTTTTAAGTGCGTTCCACCAACTTAAAATACCGACAGACAGCTAGACAGATGGACCTATTTTGGGTCTTATCAATGTCGGGCAATTTGGTGTATTGGAACACACCAAAAACGAAAGACACCTGAGCCTATAGTCGTTTTTTCGCGTAAATACCATGAAATACTATGGTTATTAAACTTAACCTTGGTTAATAGTTAAGGCATTTTTGCGTTTAGAGTGCGTTCAAAATTCCTAACTATGACGTCACAAATACCAGACCATAAAACTATATCGCTGAGCTAGTTATTCAACGTGGTTAATAGTCTTTCTCTTTTTAATATATATTTTTCTGTTTCGATATGTCAAAAATTTGTTTACATTTGAAATTTAAAATATTTTAAGTAGGTACAATTGCTCTTAAACCGAATTTAAACTTTGTATTAAAATGGTAAACGGGGTGTTGTCAGTAAAAATAAATGATAGGGTGCTCCATATTGTGGATCTCCACAAGTGGAGGAATTATATGCAGGTTTTTTTTTATATTCTTCCTTATTTTGTATTAAACATGTAGGAGAATTGGATAACGTGTATTGAAAAAACTAGTACCTATAGAAAAAGAATATACTAGGTATAAGAAGAGGCAAAGAAATTTATTTACACCGGTAAAAGCATAGAAATTAAATATAAATAGGTAAAAACACATTTCAAAAATTATAGGTTATGAAAAAGTAAACAAATGTCAAATGTTAGAAACCTAACCATGGTTATATGAATTAACTGTGACGTCATGACTTATTTAACCGTAGTATTACATAGTATTTACGCGAAAAAACGACTTATATACTGTCCACCCAAGCAGTGATGTAATGTATCGAGATACATGTATCTAGATACTGGATCTAGATACATTTTATGTACCTAGGTACGTATCGAGATACTTAAGAAAATCAGGATCTACTTTAGTATCTAGATCCTTTTGAAAGTATCTAGATCC